AGTTGGGGAATAAGTGATCAAGAATATTTCTTAGTGAGAAGTGTCAAAGTATTGTGTTGTGCACTTTTCTTAACTCCTAAAATGAGGTTGATATTTAATATCTATACATAGCAGCTGTACATTGCATCCATACAATCCAAGCTACTGATCCAAACCAAAATGGGATTGTGCGTAATTTCTCAGATACCCTACAATACTTGAACCTTAGTATATCTCTCATACACACACACATACACACACTCACAAACACAAATTTAGCAGTCTGGCTTATAACTTCCCTCTGGATTACCCAGTTAAGCCATGTGACTGGCCAGTTAATCATCACAGCTCCCACCTCTGCAACTAGCTACCATGTAACTTTGGTCAAGATGCTTAACTTCTGGGGTATCTTAAAGCTGAAGGTCTTAAAATCCTGTTACTCTATTTCTTTTGGGCAGTAATTTTCCATTTCAGTGAAGATTTGAGTATATAAGAAATTTGATAAACTCCTTCTTATGTATCAAGAACATACTTTACATACAGTGTAAAATACAGCATCTTAAGTTTTATTTTTTAGGAGGAATTCTTATAAGGCGCAGATATTTTTTTAAATTAGAGCATTTCATCTCTGTTTAGGTAGATAATGTCAAATTGGCTTGGGCTCTTCTCTCTCCCACACATATCCTTATCCTTTACCCTGGTAACTAACTTTCTATATCAATAATTGCTATATTTTGATTTTGAAAGTAGTATAGACATGTTTGGGTGATATTGAATAGCTTCAAGTTATATTTTCAGATTCATGTGATATACTTCAGTTTGGTTATAGATCTAAAAGATATACAATAAAAAAGATGTCACATAAGACTGTGATTTCTAACACTGATTTTTTCCAAAGAGAAATTTGACACAATTGGTTTTTAAGAGGAGCTTTTTATTTACATTTTGTTATAAATATATATCTTAGCGATCCAACTTACACTGGATGTTATATTTGAAAGATTTCTGAACTAACAGAAAATTGAAGATAACAATCTGTTTAATGTACAAGAAACTTTTCATTGAAATTTCAGTGTCCTTGCATTTTTTTTATCTTTAAAAATCTTCCCTGCTTCTGTGACTATTAAACTCTTTCAAAAATATACTTTTCCTTTCCCCCAAAATATTTTCAGTACTATCTCAAGTGTACATTAGGCAAATAGATCAGGTCAAAATGACTTATAGAATGAGATTTTTTCTTCAGGACATGATCCTATTAAAATTGCTGTTTTACCAAAATATCTTTCCATTACTTAAAGAATCTTTAAAGGTTGAATGTACAAAATCATTAGTTATTATAAGTTAATACTTCACATGTTAATTGAGATCATTTTAAATAAGTGACAGCATCTAGAAATATCTTTGTATTAGTGGAATTGCCTTTTTGATCTACTTGGGAATATTTGTCTTACATGAAAGCCTTAGCATTATTTGTGAAGGTTGTTTCAGTACTAGACCAAATACTCAATTTGGGAAAGATGATTGAATTCATTGCCAGAATAAGAGATTAATAACTTTTTTTAAAAAAGTTATATTAAATCCAAGGCATAATACTATACTATATGGTATATGTTACCTAATAGTTTATATGCTGGGTGATACTTTGGGAAATTGAAAGGGAGAAGCTAACTTAGTGCTCTTAACAAACACCGTATAGTCACAAGTCACATCTGGCAACCTCAGCTATCTGAATTTTTAAGAGAACCAAGAAGCAAATAAAAAAGATCATTGAGCTGGCAGCCACAGTTGATGTCATAAAGTCCATAAACCCCAGGACTGCATCTTGTTCCCAGTTGTTGCCTCAGAGGCTAGCCTGGCACATTTCTTAAATGCAAACACAGTCAGAATTGCCTTGTGGCCTGTTCATTCTTATTTTCGACACAAATTCTAATTATCTGATTTATCCATCCCTGGTAGATTGTAAGCTAGGAAGAGATCCAGGGCAATATGACTCCAGGAAATGGAAAAATAGTGAGAAGTGATTCAACATCTTAGCCTTCTTCCCTTTTTGTAAACGTTATCTCCACTTGTATCACTCATTCTTTCATCCTCTCCAGTCTCTGTAGGTTTTCTCTTCCTGGTCAGTGCTACTGGAATCCCATTTCTTCTACCTCTTAGGAAACCTTGTACCATTCAGCATCTCCAACCTGTCAAATGCTAATGACTCTTTCCCTCATCTTATGAACATTTTTGTCTCTTCCTCCTTGAAGATATCCTTTCTTGACCCCATGTCCCCTGTATAATTACATCCTTATTGTCTTTTCTGTTCTTCTAAACTTCTTGAAACAAGTATTGTGTGTTCCCCATCCCAAGTTCTTTATCTACCAGTCACTTACTGTTCACTCTTAAACCTGCAGCAATTTGACTCATAGCTCTCAGCCTCCACACTGTTGAATCCAATTGCCATTTCTCAGACTTCACTAATATTTTACAGTATTCTCCTATGCTACTTGAAACTGTTTCCTTCATTGGCTTCCATGGCACTATTTTCTACCTGCCTTTTTCTACTTCTTTAAAAAAATTTTTTTTCTTTATTGGTTTTAGAGAGAGTGGAAGGGGAAGGGAGAGATAGAAACATCAATGAGAGAGAACATCGATTGGCCGCCTCCTGCATGCCCCGCACTGGGGATTGGGCCCACAATCTGGGCATGTGCTCTGACCAGGAGTCAAACCAGCAACCTCTTGGTGCATGGGTCAACACTCAACCACTGAGCCACACCAGCCGGGCTCTACTTTTTAAAAAAAATATTTATTTTTATTGATTTTTTTAGAGAGAGAGGGAGAGTGAGATAGAAACATTGATGTGAAAGAGAAACATCAATCGGCTGCCTCCTGCACAGCCCCTACTGGGGTTTAAGCCCACAACTTGGGAATGTGCTGTGACTGGGAATTGAACCAGGACCTCTCAGTCCAGGGGATGATGCTCAATCCACTAAGCCACATTGGCCGGGCTCTTTTCTACTTCTTTTTCTTGCTCCTTTACCCCTCAAATATGGATGTTCCCAAGGGTTTTGCCTCTGCTCCTCTTTTTATTACTTGCCATCACTGAGAAATATTTTTGTCCATGGTTTTAACTACCACTTAAGTTCATCAACCACTTGGTTCAGGCACATATATCTTAAACTCAGCAGATTTAAAACTGAACATCCCCCTCTTCCACATATTCCTCTCCACCCTCCCCCATACACAATATTTTTAAAAATTAAAAAAACAACTCCCACACACAAAAAAACTACAAGCAAAACTAAAATGCATATATTCTTCCTCCTGTATTCCCTATCATCGTGAACTGGTACCAGCATCTACATAGTCAGGCACTGACGCTATGTGTGGAATTGGAAACTATTCAGATTATCTCCTCCTACCACACCCCTGACATCCATTTGGTCAATTCTGTCTTCTAATCGGATCTCTAGTCTGTCCCTTATGCATTTGCACTTTGTTAACCCAGTTTAGGACCACATTATTGGATATCTGGACTCTAACAATAGAGGCGCCTCCTAACTTAATACCACCAGTCTTTCATCTGCCATAACTTCTGAAACAAATATCCTGCTTAAAACCTTGCTGCCCTTTTTTTTTTTTTTTTGCTATCAGTATAAGGCCAAACTACCTAGAGCATACAGTGCCTTTGTGAGAAGAGTACCCTTTTCCTGCTTTTTTCAGCCAAGAGTACCTCTTGATACAATGATCTAGCTACACCAACCTTCTTTTTTTAAATTTTTTTTCTGTATTGATTTTAGAGAGAGAGGATGGGAGAGGGAGAAAGAGATAGAAACATTGATGAGAGAGAACATCGATTGACTGCTTCCTGCACGCCCCCCACTAGGGATTTGGCCCACAACCTGGGCATGTGCCCTGACTGGGAATTGAACCAGTGACCTCTTGGTGCTTGGGTCAACGCTCTACTACTGAGCCACACCGGCCAGGCTATGCCAACCTTTTTGCATTTACCCTGAAGTGCCATGTTTTTATACCCTCCTTATTTTTGTCTGTGCTGTTCCCTACACATGGGGTGCCCTTTTCCCATTACCTGCATGGTTAATTCCCACTCATCTTTAAAAACACAGCTCCACCCTGGCTGGTGTGGCTTAGTGGATTGAGCATCGTCCCATGGACTGAGAGGTCCCGGTTTGATTCCCAGTCAGGGCACATGCCTGTGGACTCTATAACCAATAGGGGGCATGCAGGAGGCAGCCGATCAATTTCTTTCTCACATCAATGTTTCTATCTCTTTCTCCCTTCTTCTGTCTATAAAAAAAAAAAATCAATAAAAAACACAGTTCCAATGTCATTTTTAAAAAACACAGTTCCAATGTCATTTCTTTTAAAGAATGTCTTATGTAACAAGACTGAGTTGAATTTGCCTCTGAAACACTTCCGTGATACTTTGTGTGTTGCCTGCCCCTGTTACAGCCTATTTTCAAATTATAACCACTGATTTTCTTGTCTGACTCTCACACTGGACGGAACATCTTGAGGCAGATGGTTATACTGTCAGGGCCAGTCTAAATCTTTTCCAACTACTAAATGACCCCAGATTGCTATGCAGTGAGTTCTTACGTCTGCAGAATATAGTTAGTTGTTCACTTGGTTCATTTCATTAATACTTCATGACCTGCAGTGTCCCACTCTGCTTTTTCAACATCATAACAGTTTGCCTCTGAATGCTCAGCATTATCATCAAGGAAAGGCTAATTATATTTATCCATTATCTTCTGTTTAAGAAATCTGGGAAGTATATAATCATTTTATATATCTTTCATTCAAAAATGACTATTTTGGGGGTACTTAAAAGTGTATGATTTGGTTATTTGGAAAATTACTTTTGTGGAATATCTTATTTGCTGGTAATGAATGCCAATGACTTGTCACTTGGATGTAAAAAAACGTGTTGGGACATGATGTCATTTTAACTTAAAATTTACAGATTTGAAGTTTTGTCACTGTTTCTGTTCTCAATTTCCTTTCTTCACATCTAGCTCAAGACTGCAGTGCAGATGACGACAACTTCCTTGTGCCCATAGCGGTGGGAGCAGCATTGGCAGGAGTACTTATTCTAGTGTTGCTGGCTTACTTTATTGGTCTCAAGCGCCATCACACTGGATATGAGCAATTTTAGAACCTGCAATCTGATTGATTATATAAAAATACATGCACATAACAAGATTCTCTTGCCTCTTAATTTTGAAACACTTTGCTCCTTAAGATTGATTTATTGGAATTAAGTCAGTGCTAGCATTTTGAGATAAATCTTTATTAATAAAAAATTGTTATCTTTGATCAGCTTAAAATAAAAAATATTGTCTCTACTGGTCCCGAAGACAAACTTGTTAAAAAGAACATTGGTGTGCAATGTTTTAAGGTCTATCTTAAGAAGCCTTGGCCAAATTTTTATCCTAATCTAAGATGCCTTAAACTTATTAACATGATCATTATAAGAACAAAATATGTAGCTGTCTCTTAATAGAATTAATAATTACTATTTCACAACTGGTGTTCTGTGTCAATGTATAAGAACTATACCAATTTAAACTCAGTGCCTTTGCACATAATTCATTAAATATTGATGTGGCATAAATGCCCATCAGATATACTCAAACTTGGTTTTCAGTTAAGTGTCCTCAGGACCATGAGCATTTCTTAGGTTATGTGACTTTTTGTTGATTTCTTTGAGTCCAAGTTAAGGATGAAGTCAGTATCTCAGGCTTGTGATTCCCTCCCCCGAACCTAGGCAAACAATAGATCCAAAGGCCACAACAGAACTTAAACTGGCTTCAGAGTTAGTTTTTTTAAATGTTTCTTTTTCATAAATATAGACTGAAAAGATTCAAACATATTTAACCTCTTAGCTTTTTCTTTTTCTTTGTTATTCTCATCTTTGGATGCCTGATTAGCATTGAAAGATAGAAGTATTCTATGAACTAATTAGGACAGATTGTGTTGTGTTTCTCTACTTCATCTTGTTGATCGCTAGAGCATTAAAATCTATTTAGTGTTGTCATCAGACTGGTACTTATGAAATATAAGCTAACAGAAATCTCAGAAGGGATGCAGTTAAGCATAGCAACTAGGTCCCTGGGAACAGAGCATAGATGGAGAGTAGAGAGAAGCTGTTGGCATTATTAAAATGAGCTGGATAATCAGCCCCTATTGAAGCATATTCCTTGTTATAAGTGCAGCACAGATATTGAATATAAAAACAAGAAAGAAGCTTAATCAATAGACTTGAGAAGACTTTCACAATGAAATGATTATTTTATTCATTCTATGTGTACATTGGCTTGTTCAGAATTTCTGTAACTCACTGATTGCAGTATTTTGGTACCCAACTATCAGTCTCTGAAGGCTTTCATTAAAATACAGTAAATCTACCTGGCCAGTGTAAGCTCAGTGGTTGAGTGTCGACCTATGCACCAAGAGGTCACTGGTTCGATTCCCGATCAGGGCACATGCCCAGGTTGTGGGCCCAATCCCCAGTGAGGGGCATGCAGGAGGTGGCCAATCAATGTTCTCTCTCACTGATATTTCTATATCTCTCTCCCTTCCTCTTTCTCTAAAATCAATAAAGAAAAAAAAAATTATTTATTTATTTATTTAATTTTTTATTTATTTTTTTGTTACAGATATTTCACTTTTTTACCCCATTGGCACCCCCCTCCCCACCTCACCCCCGCCCCGTCCCCGGCTTAGTTGTCCGTGTCCATTGGTCATGCATACATGCATATAAGTTCTGTGGTTTATCTCTTCCCACCCCCACCCACCTCCTCTTCTGAGGGATGTCAGTCTGTGCCCTACTTCCATGTTTCTGGGTCTACTGTATTCCTCAGACTGTTATGTTCATTATATTCCGTATATAAGTGAGATCATGTGGTATTTGTCTTTTTCTGCTTGGCTTATTTCACTTAGGATAATACTTTCCAGGTCCCTCATGTCATCTTTCTTTCTTACCACTGCATAGTACTCCATTGTGTATATGTACCACAGCTTTTTTATCCATTCATCTACTGATGGACACTTGGGCTGTTTCCAAATCTTAGCTATTGTAAATAGTGCTGCTATGAACATGGGGGTACATATATTCTTCCTGATTGGTGTTTCAGGCTTCTTAGGGTATATTCCTAGCAGTGGGATCACTGGGTCAAATAGAAGTTCAATTTTTAATTTCTTGAGATAACACCATATTGTTTTCCATAGTGGCTGCACCAGTCTGCATTCGCACTAGCAGTGTGCTAGTGTCCCCTTTTCTCCACACCCTCGCCAACACTTGTTGTTTGATGATTTGTTGATGGCGGCCATTCTGACAGGTGTGAGGTGATACCTCATTGTTGAAAAAAACATATTTTTTAAATAAAATAGAGTAAATCCTTTCAACAAAGACTACCATAATTACTGAAATTCATCTACTCAGAACCTTAGCAACTGTTTTTCTTTTTTATAAATGACATAAGAGCAAGAGGAGGAAAGGATAAACTTAGAGAAAAATCAAGTTATTACTTATCATGATCATACCAAATACCACATTTTGTTAATTGCATTAGACGTATATTGGAAAGGACCTTAAAGATTATTTATTCTAACCCTATGCTTTTACAGAAAGAGAAGTAACTTCTCTGAGATTACACATCTCGTGGTCAACAAAACCATTATTAGCATTTTGATCAAAATTGTCCCAATAAAATCTAGTCACTGAATAGTAAAAATAGTTTAAACTTGAAATTATAAGATCAGAATGGGGCACTTTGAGCTTCTGCACTAACTACTTTCAATAAATAACACATGACCTCAACTTCTTTTAAGTATGTTAAACGTACTGAATACTTACTTTTTCAGTAATAATATATTGAAACACTTCTATTTTGATCTCTTTTTGCTACTTCAAAACCTAAACTTCCTTGGATGGGATTACAAACTCAGGAGGAAAACAGAAGGGAAAGAACACTTGCTCACCTGATGTGTATTAGATGCTTTAGAAATACAATTGTATTTATCGAATACCTTATAATATAGATATAATTATCCCCCTTTTACAGATGAGGAAAGTGAGGCCCAGTTTAAATAACTTGACCGAGGTCCTTTAACTAGTAATTGATGGAATTAAGTTTCAAACTCAGTTCTGTCTGAATACAGAGCTCAAAATCTACATGGCACACACTGACTTCCTGGTGGTCTAGTGGAATGGACTGAAATGTATGGGATTCTGCTATTATTCTTCCAGGCCACTGCTCAGCTAATAATAACTATATATAATCCTATAGTTACCTATTGCCGGTGTGAAAAAATGTATACTGCATTTTTTATGCTAAGTCCTTTCCGACTTAAATTTTGTTAATACAGAGTTCTTATTTATATTTAAATCATAGTTGTGGCAAGGGAGAAAGGGAGTGGGGAAATATTCAAGCATTGGTCTTAAGCATAGATGATAGTTCTTTTCCCCAGTGCTACTACACAATTAAACATAAAATCTCCCCTTGTTAGGCAAGCATGATTCTGTTTTGATTTTTTTTCTCTTCCCTTCTGCTTTTTGTACTGAGACATTAGGTGTAATTTGAGATGAACTGACGAGACCTATAGGAAGATCAGTTGCTTAGAAATATTTGGGTGGATACAGAGAAAATAAGGGTAAAGTTCTAAAAGACTAACCTATGTACATTTTCAAAATGCTTGTTTCTTGTTTCTGCTTAATTGTATTCCTTGCTAATTTCCTTTCCTTGCTTTCTGTCCTTTTCTAACAGCTGAAGAATGTTCTGCAGACTCTGACCTCAACTTTCTTATTCCTGTCACAGTGGGTGTGGCCTTGGGCTTCCTTATAATTGTTGTCTTTATCTCTTATATGATTGGAAGAAGGAAAAGTCGTACTGGATATCAGTCTGTGTAGCCAATTAAATCTAGTACTTTTTGTGTTTTGCTATCAGAAGTTATGTTTCTGTTGCGTAAAAGCCAGGAAATAATGTGCAATTGGTTGTCTGAGGTATGCAGACTAACCTCAGTGAACTGCTAGCTAACTTGGGCATGAATAGCACTTATTTAAGAAAAAAATGTATTAGGACCAATTTCTTTTGTTTTTCTATTTTCCCTTCCTTTGTTAAAGTGTAATTGAAAGAAAAGTTGTGGCTTAGAATATGTTTTTTTAGTAAGTAATAATTTTAAGCCTCTGGATCTAATTATGAAAGCATTTCTACTAAAGTATAATTTTATATGTTGTAGTTACTTATATTTTGCTACTTTGACATTATTTGCAATATTAAAGCTGTTAGAGAATTTAACTTGCTTCAGGAAATAAATTCAAGCAAATAATGAATTCATTTTCATTGGAGGCAAACATAAAATTTGGTTCATAATAAGGCTTCCTTTCCCAACCTCTGATCTAGAGTATTAAGTCTGTGTTTTTCTGCTAGTTAAAAAATGAAGGAAATAAATAGCTTAACAAAGCTGTATTTAATAGCAAAAGTCTGGCTGTTTTCCTCACTACTGTTAAACAGTGGCTACTACATTTTAATGAGAATGTCTTTTTTCTTCCCCTTTGGAATTTAGAATATACTGATTATCTCAGACTTGATGTTTATGCCAAAGGATGAAGATATTTGGCTTTTCTAAAAGTGTTGATATAGAATGGGTTATGGGTTTTAGGGTTATGATTTAGAATGCTTTTTCCCTTAGAGCCTTAACTTGTTCAGAAAGTTAATTCATCCTCCATTAAAAACAAACTTCTGTACTTTGTGTGCCTCCTGCACTCTCCTATTCCCTATGTGACTAAGTTCCAATTGATATTTTTAACGTATTATTTCTTTCTTCTCAGAGCTGCAAGTGCTAACTTTAGAGGCTAGCGAGCCCTGAAGTGTCATCAGTTTGGCTTCCTAGCCAAATCTGGACTGGAATTATTTTGTAAATTTTTTTATTTTGATATAGGTTTATATCCTGGTAGAGACCTCTAGTGGCTCTAGCTTTTGGAGTAAGGTTCTAGAGACCACTCATCCCAGTATTCGTTTGATTGCCTAGGCTGTTGAATTGCCCTTTGATTTGGAAACAGTGTTGTATTTCTCTAGGGCCCAAGTGGCTACTTTGTAAGCCTGTTATTAGTATAAGGCATATATTTATTTTATCAGGCAATTTTATCTCTATATAACTAAAAACAAAAGTTTCCAAATACCTGCCTTCATTTCAAAAATGTTTGATGGAATAATAAATTAAGCTTAAACCTTAAGTTAGTTTGTTATTAAATCCAAGGGTCAAGTTCCTCTCTACCTCTCAGCACAATGCAGATGCTCACCACTGTATTGTTTTTAAAAAGAAAGAAAATTCATCAACATCTTTCTTTGCTATCTCACCTATATGAGCATCTCAAAAGCATATATTGCAAACTGAAGTAGAAAGTCAGATTGCTCCATTACTTCTCCCTTAGAACACTCTGGTTCTGACTTGCAGAGTCAAGCTCTCTTCTATTTGCTAACTATATCAAGAATGGTTTATTTTTAAATGATCTCCTGTGAAAACAATTGCTTATTTGTTATTTAGTCAAAATGATGACACCATAAAGAACAGTGGCTTCATATCAATAAATATTTTTGAGATGATTGTCTAGAAGCCAGATTA